ATAAATAAGACTCGTCCAAAGAGATAATAGGAAAACGTTGATTCGTTTTCTAAAAAAAAATGAAACATTTTGCGCCCAAAATTGAATTATATTTGGTATTATATTCAAAAAATCTAGAATTATAATAGCAGGACAAAAGTGAGACAGCTATGTTAATTCCTTGAATAAGAAGTGGTGTCGGTAGGTATCGAACAAGTATGCATTGCCTCGTGTACGACGCCCACCAATACTTATAGATTACTGAAGCGATAGTTTAGAAGCGATTTCAGAAGATTTCCAATTTATTTTATTAGAGTGGGAAGGGGATTATATAAAACCTCAAATCAGACCACATAAAATCACCACATTGGTGTAGCACGCCATCCCAATAAGTGCAGGGGAGTTTTTTTATGAGGTGAAGAAAGCGATTTGCAGCTGTTATTGAAATTATCGCATATTCATCCGTTTGGCATCACTAATGGGATCGGGGCCTAGATGATTAAAAATAGGCCCAGTACTGCCTTCAGCTATGAACACACTCCGAAAGTCCCCTACGCACCCCCCCACTTATTTTGTTTAACAAATAATTTCGGAATCAATAAAATGGTAGGTCCCTATCAATGATGTTTGATACGACTGGAAATTAATGTGTCTAAAATTGATTAAACAACATAGGGTAGTAAATATTACATTTTGAATCCGTATCAATGATACATTTACTCAAAATGTTCCTTCCAATGGATCACCATTTAACTGAAAACAAGGGAAGCAGCCGATCGAAGAAAAAAAGATTTTAAAAAACAAGTTTCAATATGATAGTAGTGGTTCGGTCATGCATTTACATCTGTGGGTGTCATCCTTTCTTTGAAAGTAATGATTGTGCCAGATTTGAACAAAGTCCATCTAGATTCGCGGCCTGTAGGTAAAGTGTGACAGATAAAACGTAAAAAAAAACCAGACCTATAAAAATATATTTTCTAAAACTATTTTAATTTTGAAATTATATTATTTTCACATGTGCTAAGTGTTTTAGTGAATAGTTATAGAAAGGGTCTTGTAGATTAAGACTATAGCGCATGTGCACTGTGCAGTTTTAAACTTCCGAGACGACAAGTCGACAAGTCGATGATAAGACAGTTTCGCTTTTTGTCGTGCCGTCGTATCATCGACTTGTCGTGACGATAAGTCGATGATACGACGGCACGACAAAATCGGGTCGATGACACGACAAAATCACGCGATCTTACGACAGTTTGTTCTGTCGTAAGATCGCGTGATTTTGTCGTAAGATCGTGTGATTTTGTCGTGTCGTCGTATCATCGACTTACAGTGGCGATAAGTCGATGATACGACGGCACGACAAAATCACACGCTCTTACGATAAAATCGTATCATCGACTTGTCGACTTGTCGTCTCGGAAATTTAAAACTGCGCATGCGCTATAGTCTTTATCTACAAAACCCTTCTATAAATATTCGCTAAAACACTTAGCACATGTGAAAACAATATAATTTCAAAGTTAAAAGAGTGTAAGAAAATATATTTTTATAGGTCTGGGTTTTTTTTTTTTTTTTTTTTTTTTTTTTTTTTTTTTTTACATTTGATCTGTCAACACTCTACCTACAGGCCGCGAATCTAGATGGAATTTGTTCAAATTTGGCACAATCATTACTTTCAAAGAAAGGATGGCACTCTCGGAGGTAAATGCATGACCGAAGCACTACTGTCACATTGAAACCTGTTTTTTTTTTTAAAAAAATGTGTTTTCTTCGATCGACTGTTTCCCTTGTTTCAAGTTAAATGATGATCTATTGGAAAGAACGTATTGAGTAAATGTACGTTATCACTAATATGGATTCAATATGTAATATTTCTCATGTTGTTTAATCAATTTTTGACATATTATTTTCCAGTTGTATCAAACATCATTGATACCATTTTATTGATTCTGGAATTATTTGTAAAACTAAATAAGAGACGTGGGGGTGGGGGGTATGAGGCTTTTAGAGTGTGTTCATAGTTGAAGATATTACTGGGCCTATTTTTACTCATCTAGGCCTCAATCCCATTAGTGATGTCAAACGGATGCAAGCCTATATGCGATAAGGTCAATAACGGCTGCGAATCGTTTTCTCCACCTCATAAAAAAAACTCCTGCATCTATTGGGGTGACGTGGGGGGGGGGGGGTATGAGGCTTTTAGAGTGTGTTCATAGTTGCAGATATTACTGGGCCTATTTTTACTCATCTAGGCCTCAATCCCATTAGCGATTTCAAACGGGAGAGAGAGAGAGAGGGAGAGAGAGAGAGAGAGAAATGGGGTTTAACGTCCACTCGACACAAATTAGGTCATTTCGGGACTAATATGGTTTAATTTTATTTCAATAAATCGTTTGCGCGTAGGGGTCTTTAGCAGTGGGAGGAAACCGGAGGACCCGGAGAAAACCCACGAGGTTGGACAGGCGACCCTACTCCTTGTCACGTACAACCGGGGATTCGAAACCACGCCAGTTGACTCAATGACAGGCTGCGAATCGTTTTCTCCATCTCATTCAAAAAAACTCCTGCAACTATTGGGGTGACGTGCTGCACTATGATAAAAATAATGCTGTGATTTTAAAGAATGTGGCCCGATTTGGTTTTTCTACAATCACCTTCCCACCCTGTCTTCTGATATCACTTTTAAACTATCGCTCCAGTCATCTATAAATATTGGTGGGTGTCGTACACATGGCAATGAATGCTTACTTGTTCGATACATCCCGACACCACTTTTTCTTCAAGGAATTAACTTAGCTAACTCACTTTGGTCCTGCTATTGTAATTCTAGATTTTTTATTATAATACCAAATATAATTCACTTGTGGGCACAAAATGTTTCATTATTTTGAGAAAACAAATAATTAATCAACGTTTTCCTACTATCTCTTTTATATTTATCAAATCTGCTACTTAGGCCTATATATGATGTAATGAGTACAGCTGTATTTTTGTGACTTGTAGAAAGAGACTAGGACAATAAGTCGACATCTCGACGTTACGATAAAAATAACACGATGATACGACAGAATGAAGTGTCGTATGATTGCGTCAATACTGTCGTGATGTTGTGTTGTCGCGTTATGAAAAGGGCGAGATTTAACATGGCCACTATCAGCCACCATACATTCCAACCATAAAATTTATTGGTTTGGGGTTAACCATTAGGGGACCTATTTAGTATGGAAGCGTATAGGGGTCATTAATATCACGACGAAAGATACTGCAATATTAATATGATAACATTGTGATTGTTGAAATGATTTTAACCGTGAATGGAAAATTTTTGTTGAGTTAAATGCATCAATGCAACATGTATGGTGTCGTTATTTCGTTCTAAATGTGCACGTTTGCGTTAAGATATTGTTATTCTGAAGGAATGCGAGTCAAGTCGCCCACACGAAAAGTCTTCCACACGAAAAATCTGGTCAATTCGTCCACACCCGTTAGTTGAGTCGTCCACACGATTTAGTTTAATTTCGGGATGTAGAAATACGTTCGTTAAGTATTGCTTCATCATCATCCCTCCCTGGTTGTCATAGTATTTGATATGAGTATTGACTATCGCCATGTATCGGGATGTAGAAATACGTCGTTTTTTGTGCTATATTATCATTTCCCCCTGGTTGTCAGGCTATCGTCACACTAGAGCGGGAACGATCATGAATAAACAACAAAGTAAATCATTTTATTCAATAAATAAAAATTTCATAAATATAGCAAATTCAATAAATAATCAATAACAATTTCATAAATATAGCAAATTCAATAAATAATCAATAACAATTTCATAAATATAGCAAATTCAATAAATAATCAATAACAATTTCATAAATATAGCAAATTCAATAAATAATCAATAACAATTTCATAAATATATAACAAATTCTATAACAAATTCTATAACAAATTCTATAACAAATTCACAAATATAACACATTCAATAAATAATCAATAACAATTTTATAAATATATAACACATTCTATAACAATTTTATAAATATAACAAATTCAATAACAATTTCATAAAAAAAAGTTCATTAATAAACAATAAACCCGATGCACCAATACATTCCTAAATAGCTACCAAACGACCCACAACCTTTAAAAATCCTCCCCCCCCCCCAGTTGATATAATTCCCATATTATAAATAAAATTCCCTGCTACTGTCTCGAATTTCTTCCCCCGTCTTCGCTTTAATTTATTTTCAGAGTCCAGTCTCTTTTGTGGCTAAGTGGGTGAGATGCTGGCTCGCTAGCCTGGAGGTCGGGTTTTCGATCCCTGCATTGGCCGAGAAAGTTCACCCAGATTTTCCGGCGTGGTTCCCCCTTGTCAGTGACGGAGGGCCTGACAAGGACAGCTGTCTAGTCATTCGCATGAGACGAAAAACCGAGGTCCCGTGTACCCATTTGGCGTGCACGTAAAAGATCCCTTAACAGCTGGAATTCAAATTTCCCCCATAGCACACTATATGGCGTAAGCCCGTCTTCATTAGCCCAGTTCGGAGCAAAACAGTAGGACGTTAAACCCCATTTCATTTCATTTTATAGGTTGTGGAAGTACACAACAGTTTGCGACGGCCAAGGATTCTATCCAAGTCTTCTCTATGTATTCAAAAAATTGTCCCAGTAATTCCGTAGTTGCAAAACAAAAATACTTTATTAAAAACATCGTTAATACTAATCAAATAATCACAAATGCTAAAATCATAACGCCAATTAACAAACAATACAAGGATACTACATTACAAAAATATCTGTGAACTTATATAATGCCGATCTAACATCAAAACAATCAAGGAGTAAAAGTTATTTCTTCCATACAATTAACAAACGAAATGGCGACATACAACATAGAGCATTAGTAAAATTAACTCGGCAAAAACTGTCTTTTGAGTGATAAAGTCATCGCAACAATCACAATACATTACCATATTAATATCGTGACATCTTTTGCTTCAATAATTTCGAGGGGTCTATTGTGTATTTAAACATTCTTAGAACACGAGACGCCACAATATCAAGTTGACCTGGATAATTCAAGTATATTTAAGTAGACAGCAGATCTCATGTTATTCTGAACTTACTTCACTGCATGATTGAAACACAAAACCCTTCCTGGTCAGAATAATAACATTTTATACTGAAAAGCGGGAGTAATTCACGTTATACCCTAGTAGATGTCAGAACACGATATTCAAGATGTCGACAGGGAGATTATATATTTTATTTTCGTTATTGACGATTACAACGTTTATTGATGGTAAGTCATATAATCTTTTTATAATAAATATTGTACATTATATTAGTGGTAGTTTTGTTAACGATACATTATGTAAGGTTTAGAAAAATAGTTGTCCATTCTTGCTTTAATAGCTCAAAAATATAATGTAAAATGAAAATATTGAACATTTCATTCAAATTTGAAAATATATAGTAGATCGTTCATCATCCTACCAACGGTGCTTGACAACCGAGTTATAGCCTCGGTTATCACAGAAGATGCAGTGTAGAATATTTATTATCCATTTTATCGTTATGTTTTGAAATCCCTCGGACGTGCTAATCCATTTAAATCCCTCGGACGTGTTAATCCATTTAAATCCCTCGGACGTGTTAATCCATTTAAATCCCTCGGGCGTGTTAATCCATTTAAATCTCCACCGTCTGACAATCTATAGAGTTGATTATGGGCTTAGCATGTTAATAAATGTCTAAATAATAATTTATATAACATTTGAAGGCAAACAAAGAATTAACTGCGGCCAGTATTGGGATATTTCAATCCATATTTGGCTTTGAAAATATGGGATCCTAATAACTAATATTTAAGAAACATTCTCCGGATGCCATTTGTAATGAACTAATTCACAACAAAGGACAAAATAATAGTTTTGTCTGACCTCTAGGAGGTTCCAACGAGTAGGCGTGTTATTACCGAAGCGACATAACATTACATTATTTAATTATATCACAACTTTTAGTTGATGCGGGAACCACGGTGTCTAAAACGTTGGCTCGCTAACATGGAGGGCCCGTGTTCGATCCCTGAGTTTTGTCAGTGGCGCAGGACAGATGGCCTGGCAAGAGTTTCGTATAGTTGTTTGGATTAGACGAAAAACCGAGGCATCGTGTACACATTGGCGTGCACGTAAAAGAACCCTTGGCAATCTTTTCTTCATAGCACACTGTATGTCGTAGGGTTGTAGGCCCGTCTTCATTAGCCCGGTCGAAGCAGAACAATAGGACGTTAAACCCTATTTCATTTCATTTTTTAAGTTGATGCCGAGATCGTAGCAAGAGCAACCTGCGATGACGACATGTATTTCTACGCGGATGGTGTTTTAATGGCAAACCACAGTAATTGGGGAATTGAAGTAGAAATAGACCTTCCTGACAACACGATAGTTATTGGAGTACATTGTGTGGACATAGGAGGCTTCGGTGGTATCTACGTTACTTTCACTTTAAATCAAACTTATACAACGGACACATCATGGAAATGTTCAGCAAAATTTGAAGAAAACTGGAGTACACCGGAGTAAGTTATTGAGCTGTTGGGTGAGGCATTGAAGGACCTCGCCTTCCATGATTTTTAAATTTGATAGTCGCGGTGGCTCAGTGAGTAAGACGTTGACTCGCTAGCCTTAAGGTCCTCTGTTCAAACCGAGAAAGTTCATCAGGGTTTTCCGGCCTTGTTCCCTCATGTCAGTGGTGCAAGGTACGGTGTATAGTCATTCGGATGGTACCAAAACCAAGGTCCCGTGTACACATTGACATGCACGTATAAGAACCCTTGGCATTTGGAATTCGATACAAGAGAAGGCTGGCGTGTGCCCGTGTTCATTAATTCAGCCATTTAAACATACTCTCTCTCTATCTCCCCCTCCCTCTCTCTCCCTCTCTCTCTCTCTCTCCTTTTGTATATTTAAAACTAAGAGAAATGGTTTATTCATATCAATAACGTTTCGCGTTAAACGTCATGTTATCTTTTAATATCAACTCTCTTCGCTGGCATTATGATCAAACATCTACACATAACTCCAGCCTCTTTTAAGAGAGTTGCCATTCCCCGTCTAATTTCTTATTTTTAAAAAGGCAGTGGCTATTTGCCACATGTGGTAAGCAAGAATTTTAAAATAGCCTTACGACTAACTGCTAACCGGAAGTGGCCGAAACCTTGTCTACTCTTAGATATTATTAATATAATTGTAATCTGCAAGTTTCATTGAAATCGGTTGGTAATTGCGGTCTGTAGCCGCGCCACATGAAATGTGTGATATCTCTGAAACTGCTAACCGGAAGTGGTCGAAATTTTGGCTATTCGGAGATATCATTAATGTTATCATTCTGTAAGTTTTATGGATATCGGCTCATAATTGTGGTCTGCAGTCGTGCCACATGAAATGTGTGGTAACCTGATATCTCGGAAACTGCTTACCAGAAGTGGTCGAAATTTTGGCTACTCTGAGATATTATTAATGTTATCGTGATCTGCAAGTTTCATTGAAATCGGTTGATAATTGCGCTACGGAGACATACAAGTGGTAAATAGCCTCCGAATTGTCTGGCAAATACACTGAAAAAACACTTGTGTTGGATCTCAACACAAGTACTTGTGTTAAAACTAATCTACACAAGTTATGTGTTGTTTTGCATTGCATTAACACAAACTTGTGTCGATTTATAAAATCTTGTGTTTTTTTCATATCATTAACACAAGTAATGTGTACCTTCCAAGAATTGTTTTCTTTTTAAAAAAAGAACTCCATACAAAGTCTGAATTCGGGAGTCGTCAAGTTTTAAGAAAAGTAATAAAGGGCTTAATTCACATCTCGAAAATCACATGCTGTTCTTCACTGGAAGGGCGTGAGTACCAATTAATCAGACAATTGCCAGACAGACTTGAATGTTAATTGATGTTAAGTTGTCTGTAAAGATAAAATGTCTGTCTTTTTTTATTGACCCAATAAACTGATAGATCAAATGAATATATAGTGTACATGTGATTTTCAGCACCCTGGTCTTTTCGAAAATTGATTCAATGTACAATGAACAAAAAAAATGAGTAAAACTCTTAATAATGTAATTGGTTGATGTAATCGAAATTGGACAGTATTGGTTAACTGAAAAGTAACCAATCAAATTTAATTGATCATCCACGTGTATCTCATAATCGACTTATTGATATAATGGTTCTCCAAGTTATCTATACTTTTTGTCTGCGATATCACTTCGGTGGAAGCGGACGTAAAATACAACTAACTAAGAAGAAGTATCTATACTTTAGTCATTGCGACAAATTCTCTCTTTGATATTATATCAGCGACATTCGGTTAGATAGATGTAGTGAAGTTAGCATCAACAGGGTGCTTTAGCCGTGATATTTTAAAAAAAATTATAATGGTCACATAGAATACCAGACCGCATGCAGGTTTGTAAATTTTTACAAAAAATAAAACCGTGTATTTAATTTAGCATGTATATATTGCTTCTATGTATATAATAATTCGTTTCGTTTAAAACAGTCAGATTTAGAACTACTGCCACTGACTGCACCGGAAGTCTATTTATATAATGGCGCCACAAAGAAAATTTTTTTGATGTGTTCTAAAAGTGTTCCGCTAATTCAGCAATCTAATGAATCTGTCTTAATTTTTCTGAAATCGTGCTTAATTATTATTAGCTAATCGGCGCTACACCGTTGTTCAAATACTTATAATTGCAAGAAACCCCCTACTAGGACTAGCAGGTAAGAATCTGTCTTGATTTTATAGTAATACCCGGTTGCAATTATTGGCCGCCATCTTTGATTTTTATAGACGTTCGGGCAAAAGGAGAAATGTATATCCAGACATGGACTATAGCTAGATACTAACTTTTGTGTTAGTTGTTTAGTTGAAATGTAATCTTATTTCTGTAAAAGAAAAAAACAACAACAAACAAATCAGCCTTTTTTTTATATCAATGTCATCAATGTGTAGGCCTAATATTAGACTTTCAATGATTCAGAAGTTTCTCTACAGTTTCGTTATTTTTTTTTCCAGTCATTGATGTTAGCATGTACTACACAAAGAAAAACAGGTAACAGAATTTCATTTCCTTTTAATATATTTTTTTAATAATGGCCAATAATTGTTATTGTATGTAACACGAAAAGTATTTATCTCTGTAGAGAGAGGGCGAGTAAATGGGGTTTAAAGTTCACTAAATTCACTTGACACAAACTATGCCATTCATTTCCTTGTATTAAATTGGTCGAATCAAGTAGGTCCATGCTATATATATGTCCTAGAATCAAGTAGGACAGGTAGTCTTCTTCCGCCCTTTTTCTGAACACTGTCTCATTCTATTGCCATCTGTGTATGTTGTGTTATATTAATTCTGCATAATTAACTCTAGTTAACCTAGTTAACTCTATAATAATAAATGAATTTAATATATAAATAAATAAATAAAATATAAATAAACCAATAATATATTTGTAGTTTAATATGTTTTATCTTATCATTACAGGCAAAGCATGAAGCCAAAGGAAATGTTTTTACCAAGGCATGTTCCTCAATAGCGGAGAGAGTTTTATCCAGTGTCGGTTCTGCAGAAGAACCCATTCATAGCAGACCACCCATTGCAGCACTTGTAAGGTCGCTATAAAGAACCCGACAGACTCTGCGACCAAAAGATCCCACTGACGTGTCGTCAAGCGTAAGTACTCATGCAATTAAATACCCATGTATATAAGAATTTATTAACATGTAATTAAATGTACAATTTTATTTATTTATTAACATGTACTTAAATGTACTTTTTTATTTATTTTTTGTTTTAGCTTGACGAAGATTTCATCGATCATAGTGCACCGGGATTTTATCAAAAAAGAGTAAAAGTTGGGGAAAGGCGCCATCACATTTTTTGTACTGATAGACAGATGCAACTTTTCGGGTGGTGAACAAGCCATGGTCTCAGCTGTTTTTCCATACACGCCTTCATTAAGACTGGAGAGACCACCCGACAGTTACCATTGGTGTTTTGTGTAATGTCGGGTAAAAGCCAAGACGACTATTATAAGGTAAATAGCACTTACTGATTGAATTACTATTAATAGTAAAAAGGGACTATTATTTGGGACCTTGAAATTGTCACAAATGGGTCGTAATTGAAAATGTCACCCACAGACTTTTGATTAAAAAAAAATTCAGCCGGAACCGGATACACTGGGCAAAACAGGCAATGCGCATGTCAACTTACCAAATCTCGTCCAAGCGAGATCACGTAACTAACAAAAATAATTCTATCCACCAAATCTCGCCCAAGCGAGATTACGCGCCTCATAGAACTATTTCTATGACGCGTCTAATCAATGACGTCACATATTTTTTACGTCAATGAAAATAATTCTCACACTTTTTTGTTCTTTTTTTAAAAACAAAATTAATGTATAAAATTTAGATCTCAATAAAAACTAAATTATTTAATATTTTTTGTATCACTTGAGAAAATTAATTATGAATGAAGGTTTTATATTTGACAATAATCAGCTTCGCTCTACTCAGGCAATGCCTGTTACATATTAATTTTCCGGGTGGAAACATTCGTCTTCTTTATTCAATTGGCAAAAAAATCAATGACATCGGGAATTTTTCGTGATGCCCGACTCGCACACGATTTGCCACGAACTTGAAGTGTGAAACTCCTTCAACACGTTTTTAAAGATAGTGCGGGTTGTGCCTTCATTTTTCTCGAAAACGGATATTGAAAATATCGTCGTTATGTTTAAAACTACGCACCACAGACATAGAAGCAGAATCATTTCGTGGGAATGGACGTGTATTCGTCTGCAACCATTTTGTTGAGAAGCGACACCTATGACGCTTTCGTCTTGATCAACCAGTTTCAATAATGAATCAAACCATAGCCATAGTAAAGGGAAATAACTCTCGTGATATATTTCAGGTTGACACACAAAATAAAATAAAAAGATCGTGGAAAAGTGCAATAAAATAATTTAAGTCGGGGGTGGTTTTAGTTAGTCGGTCGCGTTAGGCGAAACAAAGATATTTTTAAGGTCAACCTTAAAGCACACTAATTACGAAATATCGCTGTCAGAAACTTCATGGTTTCTTTTGCAATTTATTTGGGGTAAGACGTTATATAAATAATATCAATCTGTCTACCACACAAATTTAACAGATACAAATGCATGTTATTCCACAGGTAGACAGACAGGGCCTCCTATGAAGGGACTCAGTGAAGGGAACGCGGTTGGTTTAGAGTTTGTCTGACCCCTTTGAATATTTGCGTCTCATCTCCAATGAAAACAATCATGTTGCTCTCATGCTGTTCTCAACCAGAATCAAACATATATCGTACCTGAGATTTGTTAGCATGTTCCACACAACCCAACATTTATCGGCACCGGGATTAATGGTGTATATCTTTGTTTCTAACGCTTATTGGGAATACGCCACGGAAACTACAATAAAAACTTATTTACAAAAACATTCTAAAGAGGGAAAACTGACATATTTCAAGCTTTACTGTATTTAAAGAAATAATTGAAATCAGCCGGCTGAAACCCCGTCTCCGCTATTTGTTCAGTCATTCTTTAGGTATAGTGCCAGTTTCCACCGACAATGATATTGCAAACAAGTGTCCAATCTATAAAAGCATACATTCCTACAAAATGTTTCTTTAGTCAAGTGAAACAATAAATTCATAACTATGCGAGGGTGTGGTGAGTAAATTCGTGGTAACAAGTCTGAAAAGGCTAATGTGACATAGAACAAGGTCACATTGATGTTGACAAATACGTAAGACGATATGAACATCAACTAAAAAGATATGTAATGTGATTCAGCTGCAAGGGGATATATGCATATATGCAGCATAGATAATTAAAACTTCTATTCAAGTTAAACCAACTGTATCTATTTAAGTCTTACGTCGAGCTGAATACATTTTATGATTTATTTTCATCTATTGGTGGTTAACAGTGTGTAACTAAAAACTAAAATTGGATCTTATTATTGCCAATGATATAATGTACATGTAATAGCAAGTGTATATATATTTTTTGTTCAGTCTGTACACAGTAACATATCTGAGAACCATATTATTATCATTTCTGCCCAAGGCTCCCTGTGCCTTATAGTTAGCAGTGATACAAGGCAATTACCAATTTTCCATGTTCTTGGCCTGAAGAAATAAAATAATAAAAGTCAAGTTTTTATTATTATGCAAGTGGAAAAACACAATTATTCATAGTATGATTTGAATAAATACAACTGATTTGAAGTTGGAATTATTATTTGTCTAAGATGACTGGGCATTTACAAATTGAAATAGCTATTCTTCATCAAGAAAATGCATGAATATTTTTCCCAATTCACCTGGATTTTATTGTAGGTCTTTGTACGTGAAATAGCTTTATTTAACGTCCGCTACCACCGAAGTGATATTGCAGAAAATTAACAAATTCGGATTCCCTTTTAAAGGAAATTGACTGCACTATCGCTGGATTGTATTATATAGGTCATGTCAGTTTTTTTCAAAATGGCGCCCAGAACACAAAACAAACATTGCAATTCAGGGCTGACTGGTGTCGAGGCTGTATCCTAAGAATGATTTTTTGAATATTTAATCACACAGAAACACAAGTATGCACATGCAGTTATGATATAATATTAAATTAGCTTACCTCAAATACCTCGAAATATACTGTTTGGTCAGTTTGTCCGCCCGCCATATTTCTATTAGTCACACATCCTTCGGCCAATTAAAATGGACGTATATTTTGTTTTAACCGAAACGAAAAATTTGCGTTATAAATAGTAAACGAGCTTGATTGACCGACCACTGCTAATGTTTTTTCGTGAAACGGTATAACTGCAATCAACACACGGCCGCCATTCTCGATGATTGACACCTCACATTTTTCCTCATCCACCAAAGAACCGTTAGGTTTCTTTGAACATACTGTAATAACATTGGGATTATCAGTTAATCAGCTTTAATTATCCCGCTTTGATCGTTGCCATTTCTTATATTTTCCACAAAAAAACTTTGCCTTGTACGCACTAATTTATCAATTGGTATTGCCATCTACGACAAGCATGTCAACGTGCAGCTCACGGATTATCGTTAACAATTTCTAGGGGCTTGTAAAAAAAGATTGCATGTCGTGTAAATATTTATTTTGTTTTTTGTGTAGGTCATTTTCAAATAAATTCATCAGCATATTATTCGTTTTAAATAAATATAAAACTTTTATGAGAAACGATGATTATCAAAGAACCGTAAGTGCAACTAATGTTTTATCGTTTGGATGAGCCTTTTACTAACCACGTGTTTCATGTTAATAAATATTTTCTTTCGTGTTTTGTTTGAATTGGCCTATTTCTAATAAATTATCCGGCGTCCCAAATGTCGTTAACCCGAGTCCCAAACGACGTATACCAAAGTCCCAAACGTCGTATACCGGAGTCCCAAATGTCGTGGTCATATTTTTTTGAGTCCCAAATGACGCGAGTCCCAAATGACGTGAGTCCCAAATGACATGTAATCAACCTAGAGTTGTTGTTAGTGTTTGTCGGATAGATCCTTTATACTTACTGGCGCTAGGTAATTTCGAGGCTAATATTGTTCAATTTTATTTGAATGATTTGCTTGCGCGTACCGTAGGAGTGTATTAGAAACAGTGTTTGCGCAGGTTCGAGAACGGCTGAAGAACATGAAAACACTTTCATGAGTCTCGAACATGAGAGAACGGTATCCATGGTAACAAGATGAATTAAATTTATACAATCTGTTACGATAACTTGTTTAGTATTTACTTCGCTATTAAGCATAATTTTAATAAATTATGACACCGTTTTACTCCTTTTCAATTCTTTGGATGACGATTACATCACCTTTTGATACGCCCTCGTCCGTAGGTTTGTCCGTCGTCTACAGAACTGATTATTTTAAAATTGATATGTTGTTTATTTTAATGAGATGAATCCTATTTAATTTCAATAATTTCTGTTAGTTTCTTCTGGAGTTATGGCCCTTGTTTCACTTTGTGAAATTCATTTGAATCTTTTAAATTTGCGATTTCTGTGAATTATGTCTAGAGTTGTGGCCCTTGTTTCACTTTTTCGAACCTTGTGAACGCACGAACAACAAAATTATCATCCGATTTGTATGAAAATTGTATGCATTATTTAAATTAGTAAAACACAAAACAAAAAAATCTGTCAAATTTCAACAATTAAGGCCCTTGTTTCAGTTTGTAGAACCTTTGTAAACCCACAAACGACGAAAATTATAATCTTGTAATGAAATTTTCTTGTAAAAGCCCACATTACCTACAAAAGAATGAATATGCGACAATCCCTGTTGACTGCGCAAACGATTAAACTGCTGTGGGCATATGTTTCGTTGCCTGGCAACCTAACTTACTTGATGTTATACTGGCCACATACTACATCCAATTTTCGAACGGTATTAAACTTTTAAATTAATAAATGCACCCATGATGCTGTTTTCTCAGCAGTTATCGATACGTCGACCATGTTTGTTCTCCCTCACACCAGCTATGAGGTAGTGTGGGATTTGAGAACGGGAATGTGTTCGTGAACGCATTCCAGACTGCTCAAGTCCGACAAGAACCCATTCTCCGTCCATTCTCTGCACCAGAACACTAGGGGTATTTAGCAAAGGGAGGCAACCGGAGGACCCGGAGAAAACCCACAAGGCTGGACAGGCGACCCTATTCCTAGTCACATTCAAGTGGGGAATCACATAATAATGGCCTATTTCAAATAAGATATTTGCATTTAAAGAAAGTAGGCTTACAGCCTCTTTCAAATGTGATATTTGCATATAAAGAAAGTACAAACTTAAATCGTCAGTGCTGGATAAACTAGCCAAAAGATTTGGCTGAATCAATTGGCGCTAAACTTCACCTAGTTTATCCACTGACATACGCCCGAATCAAACATGTTTGATATATTTGGCCGAATTGTATTTGAGTGGTGTGTCCGCTTCGCCGAAGCATTCGTCTGATTTTAGAATTCATTAGCCAATCCCCACTCATTCATATAGTGTGGGTATCGCAAACTAGCAGTCGAACTGTGACACGGGTGCTACAGCCAACAAATTCCAACTACCATACTATCGGCTTAAATGCACGCCAATGGGACCTCAGGTTTTGTGTTCCATTGAAACGACTAGAAATGAAATGAAATGGGGTTTAACGTCCTACTGTTTTGCTCCGAACTGGGCTAATGAAGACAGGCATACACCACACAGTGTGCTATGAGGGAAATTTTGCCCGGACAGCGGCACTGCGGTGTATCGAATTCCAACTGTCAAGGGATCTTTTACGCGCACGCCAACGTGTACACGGGACCTCGTTTTTTCATTTCATCCGAATGACTAGACAGCTGTCCTTGTCAGGCCCTCCGTCCTGCATCACTGACAAGGGGGAACCACGCCGTGAAATCTGGGTGAACTTTCTCGGCCAATGCAGGGATCGAACACCCGACCTCCAGGCTAGCGAGCCAGCGTCTTACCCACTTAGCCACCATGACGACTAGGCATGGAATCCATGCTGAAAAATTCAAATGAGCTTTCTCGGTCAACACTGGGAGCGAACCCGCAACCTCCCGGGTACCAAGCCAGTGCCTTACACACTAAGCCACATGGCTCTCTTTTAATTACTGTGACTCTCCAGTCACATGACAAACAAGGGTTATTAAAACAGATTTTCACGGTTTAGGTAAGATCTTCGGGATTAAAATGGTTTTAGATATCACACAGTTTGTATATGGTAAGGTATCTTAAACAGTTTATTACATGTCACATATTCATATTTTTCAGTTTCCATATTAGATGCCATAGCAAATCAAAGATCATATAATAAAATAAGTCAAAAAACCCAAATATGGAAAAAGAAAGAGCTGAAGAAATGGTGATTTGAGCACCTATGCTTTCTCATAGGTGTTTTTGGAGGGTGAGTGTTCAATTCTAATAGAAAAGATTGTTGTTATGGTATTTTAGAATCTCACCATAATGTGTTTGGCACAATATATCCCGGTTGGAGCTGATGTGACATAAACCTCCATTTCATTTTATTGTTTTGAAATTTAAAATTCAGTTTAGTATAGTAAATTTGTACACGTACATGTATGTGCACAAACAGAATCTTACTTATGTCCAGATACATGTAGATATGACTGTCTCATCTGTGGGGGACCACGGTGGCCAAGTGGGTTAGACACTGGCTCGCATATTTTAAGGTCGCGGGTTTGCAGTAAGACATTGCAGTACGGAGGACTGGGCTAATGAAGTTGGGCATATGCCATACAGTGTGCCACGAGAGAAATTTTGCCGGGTACCGTGACCTTAAGGCCTTCTCTTGTATCAAATTCTAACTGCCAGGGGATCTTTTACATGCACACCAATGTGTACACGGGACCACGTTTTTTTGTTCAATCTGAATGACTAGACAGCTGTCCTTGTCAGGCCCTCCGTCCTGCATCACTAACAAGAGGAAACCACGCCGGAAAATCTGGGTGAACTTTCTCGGCCAATGTAGGGATCGAACACCCGACCTCCAGGCTAGCGAGCCAGCGTCTTACCCACTTAGCCACCATGACGACTAGACAGGGAATCCATGCTGAAAAATCCAAATGAGCTTTCTCGGTCAACACTGGGAACGAACCCGCAACCTCCCGGGTAGCAAGCCAGTGCCTTACACACTAAGCCACATGGCTCTCTTTTAATTACTGTGACTCTCCAGTCACATGACAAACAAGGGTTATTAAAACAGATTTTCACGTTTTAGGTAAGATCTTCGGGATTAAAGTGATTTTAGATATCACACAGTTTGTATATGGTAAGGTATCTTAAACAGTTAATTACATGTCACATATTCATATTTTTCAGTTTCCATATTAGATGCCATAGCAAATCAAAGATCATATAATAAAATAAGTCAAAAAACCCAAATATGGGAAAAGAAAGAGCTGAAGAAATGGTGATTTGAGCACCTATGATTTCTCATAGGTGTTTTTGGAGGGTGAGTGTTCAATTCTAATAGAAAAGATTGTTGTTGTGGTATTTTAGAATCTCACCATAATGTGTTTGGCACAATATAGCCCGGTTGGAGCTGATGTGACATAAACCTCCATTTCATTATAATATTTTGAAATTTAAAATTCAGTTTAGTATAGTAAAACTGTACACGTACATGTATGTGCACAGACAGAATCTTACTTATGTCCAGATACATGTAGATATGACTATCTCATCTGTGGGGACCCATGGTGACCAAGTGGGTTAGACACTGGTTTGCATATTTTAAGGTCGCGGGTTTGCAGTAAGACGATGCAGTACGGGGGGCCTTACAAGGACAGCTGTCTAGTCGTTCAGATTGAACAAAAAAACGTGGTCCCGTGTACACATTGGTGTGCATGTAAAAGAGCCCCTGGCAGTTAGAATTTGATACAAGAGTAGGCCTTAGAGTCACGGTACCCGGCAAAATTTCTCTCGTGGCACACTGTATGGCATATGCCCAACCTCATTAGCCCAGTCGAAGCTGAACAGTAGGACGCCAAACCCCATTTCATTTCATTTTTTTCAATTTGTCTTATCTGTGACAAAGCAAACGAACACATTACAATACAATTTAATTAAATTAAAACTTTCGTCTATTTACATATTGAATCGATTTAAGTCAACTAAAACATAGTATGTTTTTTTTCTCAGTTAACTACATCAGAAAGAAAGATCAAGACAGTTGGAAATGGCTATTCATATTATGGAAACCTTTTCTCACAGAGCTTGATAATCAGGTAAAATGTAAGTAACATACATATTTGTATTTTTAATCATCAACTAGTTCTATACACTTGATTGGTAATCTAGTTATTCTTCTTGGGGCAATGCCTAGGACTCTCCTATTCAAGTCTTGGCATTCTTGATTTTTGACAATCACATCCATTGATTTTCTTCAAGTTGTGATAGACCCTTTGTGTATTTTTACAGTAAATAGCAGTATAAAAATGGACAATATTTTACTTTTCAAATAGATTTTAATAGGTAATATCCAATTTGTTGTCGATGGAAATAAAATATAATAATCTGCCTGGGTCTGTTACTGGACAAGACACAATAAGTGTTACCCAAAGATGAAACAAAATAGAGACTCAGTCTCGATGTGGCAAAATAAATTGTTTATTTAAACATTGTGAACCATAAATAGTAAGAAAGTATTCTTATTGCCTACTTTTTATTTTTTAGGCTGGAAGATTATTTGATGTATGATAACAACAAGAGATCCCAAGCATCAATTTATTTTATAATTCTGGAAAAGAATGCATTTGACCCAATTTTTGAATATTTTTTTTTTGTTTTTACTGTTAAATATTCATCCCAAACACAATTAGATTTTAATTCTCTACAGAAATTTATGTATAATATAGAATGTAAAGTGACATATAAATCACTTAGAATTTGGTCGAAAATCATAAAATATTTAATAGGCATAGTCTAGAAACCAAATGTAGATCAAATATACCCAGAATTACAAAAAACCTTGACCTACATTAAGGTGACTTTCCCTTGCTTATGAAATGAAATAGTTTTTAATATCCTACTTTTCTGTGTTATTATGGTGATTCTGCCCTACAACCTACTCTTATATCAAATAATTCAACTGTCAAGGGTTGTTTAAAGGGAACCCAGGAGGGCCGAATGGTTAACACACGCACATTGGATCAGAAGGGTCTGTCATTGAGTCAGATAATTCAATTGTCAAGGGTTCTTTAAAGTAAACGCAGTGGGGGTAGTTTCAATTCTGGGCTTATACCCAATTATCCCTTGTCATGTCCTACACTACTGACGTGTGGGAACTATGTCGGAAAATCCAGTTGAAATTTCTCGGCCAATGCACTCACTGAACCACAGTGGCTCCTCCTTGCTTTTGACTTGTGATTATTTATATATATTTTGTACATATTATTTAATGTTTGCGATTTTCTCTGATATTTTTTTATTTTTCAATCCTGTAATCTTGATGCTTTGCTCCTTTTATGTATAAAATATTCATTTTGTTTGAGGTAAAGGTTCTACATCATTTTATTACTCCTGCAAAATAGTGCATTTTTCTTTTGTTAGTTTTCTGTGTATGCTAGTTATTTCTAGATGCCTCACAAATCACTTGTAATATGACTTTGTAGCACTTTTCAGTTTCTGAAAGTATTTCTATTTAGTGCATAATTAATCTAATTAGGGCTTGGTTTGGATGTTATTAAATTTAGATATATTTGAATTATATATTTTTGGGGTATGGGGTAGGGATCTTTCTTTTCTCAGTTCTTGTTTTCGGGTAAAGAAAAAATTAAATAGCTATTTTGTATTTTGTGATGTGGGGGGGGGGGGGAGGGGGGCAAAGTATAACAAAATTTTTATTAGTATTAGAATTATATCTCTGTTTTTCTGTTAACATTTCAAATGATGTCTATTTAGTTTTGATTTGGTGGTGTTAATTTACTTTTTCCTATCATTTTATGAATAAATGATAATTTAACAAATAAAATTATTGTTACCTCATTTATCAAACTTTACAGGTTAAACAGAGCAAAAGGGGTGGGGGCTGCATGGGAAAGATTGCTAAATTGAGGGAAAATAAAACACAAGTTTTGTTGGTGGTTATACACAAGTTTTTATGAAACCACACAAGTTTCAGAAATTTCAACACAAGTTTCAGAAATTTCAACACAAGTTTCAGAAATTTCAACACAAGTTTCAGAAATTTCAACACAAGTTTCGACACAAGTATTGTGTAGATTTTCACACAAGTTTCAACACAAGTTTGTGTTGTTTGGTAAATTTTAACACAAGTCTTGTGTTGTTTCAACATTTAACACAAGTTTGTGTTGTTTCAACACAAGTTTGTGTTGTTAAATAGAGACACCTAACTTGTGTTGAAAACAACACAAGTTTGTGTTGTTTCAACACAAGTTTTTTTTCAGTGTAGCCCCAGCCTTTTAAAAACTATATTGTAAAATGCTATCTTTAATTGATGACGCCATAGCAAAAACACTTTCATAGGAATTCTGCCTGTTACTTTCGTGTGTGTAGGTGTGTGTGTGTGTGTGTGTAGTGAGTGTGACCGAAGTGTCGTGACTACCGCTTGTACGAGACAAGGAATAGGGTCGCTTTTCCGACCTCCTGGGTTTTCTCCGGGTCCAGGTTCCTCCTACAGCTAAAGATCCCTATGCGGATGCGTGGTTTCGATTCCCCGGTTGTACGTGACAAGGAGTAGGATCGCCTGTCCAGCCTCGTGGGTTTTCTCCGAGTCCTCCGGTTTCCTCCCACTGCTAAAGACCCCTAAGCGCAAGCGAATTGTTGAAATAAAATTGAAACATACGTTAGTCCGTAAATGGCCTAGTTTGTGTCGAGTGGACGTTAAACCCCATTTCTCTTTGTGTTAGATTTGAGGATGGAAACTGGGATGCTGCTTCGATAGCTAATGAATCACTTCACAGGCGAACCGATTGGATATGGACATCTGGCTACCTTGGAGAAGACACAGATGTATATTGTAGGAAGAAAATACAAGGTTGGTCGCTTTATTATATTACTCTATAGGTGCCACAAGTCCCTTTATTATATTACTCTATAGGTGCCACAAGTCCCTTTATCATATAACTCTATAGGTACCTTTATCATATTACTCTATATGTGCCACAAGTCACTTTATCATATCACTCTATAGGTGCCACAAGATCCTGTATCATATTACTCTATAGATGCCACAAGTCTCTGTATTATATTACTCTATAGATGCCACAAGTCCCTTTATTATATTACTCTATAGATGACACAAGTCCCTTTATCATATTACTCTATACATGCCACAAGTCCATTTATCATATTATTCTATAGGTGTCACAAGTCCCTTTATTATATTACTCTATAGGTGCCACACGTCTCTTTATCATATTATTCTATAGATGCTACAAGTCCCTTTATTATATTACTCTATAGGTGCCACAGGTCACTTTATCATATTATTCTATAAGTGTCACAAGTCTCTTTATCATATAACTATAGGTGTATTATATTACTCTATATGTGTCACAAGTCCTTTTATCATATTCCTCTACAGGTGTCACAAGATCCGTTATCATATTACTCTATAGGTACCACAAGTCCCTTTATCATATAACTATAGGTGCCACAAGTCCCATTATCATATTACTCTATTATTAGAATATCAAATAGTTTCGTAATCAAGGACGTAGGTGAAGTCACGTTTTCTAAATTATAGATAATTAAAATGTTCAGCTCTAGACATATTATAGAACAAGGCAATATTACATTTATATAAATAAAACAAGATAACTAATATATAAAATATATAAATACAAAGTGTTATTAGATAATATTAGAACATTACATGTACACAAAGTTTCATTATCAAGGACGTAGGGGAATCAATTTCTTTTCTAACATGTACTCTTCAAAAAAAGAAACGCATAGGGACATTTCGTCGTCGGTATATCCCCGCTTTACCATCGCCTCATTTCAACAGGAACTGCGACCCGTCGCTGAACCAAACTGTTCTCCAGCGTTGCTGTGGCCATACACTGTGTTACTAAACCCATTGAAGTCGGATTTGACGGTGCCGGCGTATTTCAAAACAACAGGTCTAATACGGTTTCACTTAAGCCTTAATGTACTGTCTCATCTGAGTTCCTACGCTGTCCATGAATTGCTCCTGCAGTAGAGGTCGCTGTTGTGAACCGTTTCCGCAAATAACGTAACCGGATGTGACGATCCAGGCCAGGTGAGTTCACTCTTGTTTGGCCTGAGCTTGGATGGTCATGTATTGAACTTCGTTGTTGGTACCTATCCCAAAGGCGAGAAATGGTACTCCGTGAAACATTCAGCATCCTGGCTACATCTGTCTGGTATGCACTTGCTTGTAACCGACGGATAGTGTTGTTGCCTTGGTCTTCGTTCAGATGTGGCATCCCTTGGGTCGTTGAGTGTTTACATGTGCAACTGATTTTCATACGAAAAACTTGGGAAGTGGTTAAACTCATGTGCCTTGGTACATTCAAGCGAAAACAAATTTTGAAAAAAAAGTCACAGTTAGTGACTTTATATTTAAAACCAATCATGAATTTCTTTTATCCTTACATAATGGCATTAAACAAGTAAGAATTATGGAAACAACGATCCAATTCAAATAAAAAGATGATGAAAAATGGGCTGTGCGTTTCTTGTTTTAAAGAGTATATAATATTCAAATAGCATTCATTTTATTGTGTATATTATAGATCAACCAATAATAAGAAAATTAACATCTGATGTTGTTGACAACATAATAGATGAAAACTCCAGTGTTACTATTAACTGTTTGGTTGAAAGTATCCCGGCGGCACGTGTATCATGGTCCAGGTCACAACAAGGGGGACAACTCTATTCTGGTAGTCAATATACCATACCTAAAGCTAGTTGTCAACATACAGATAACTATACCTGTACAGCTAGTAATAATATTGGTCAACCTGTATCTAAAACTATTCCACTCTACGTCAGATGTAAGTATACATTGTATACAATCCAGTAAGCGGGGCTTATGTCACCCTTGCGATCCCTATCTGATGAGGCAGTGCGGTTGGGTTTAATGCAAATAAATACAGCTAAGAATTGCGTTAACAAGTCTCCATAAGCGGTCTTCCCATCGGCTGTCCTCTAGTATACGCAGAGCCCGTGAGAGTGAGGCAGCTGGAACACTTGTGCAAGCTCAAGGAGCCTAGAGGAACCCGGAGTAATGTTTTAAAAAATATTGATATAAAAGAATATAGAAAAATATACTTAGTTTTCTGGGTGTGGTTACCTAGTGGTGTGAAAAGGATCAGAATCGGATTCTTTCAGTTTGGAATGAAAAACTGTAAGACACCAGTCCGTCCTTGTTCCGTTTGAGGCTCTCGTCACCATCGTGGTATCCGTACCCGACAGTTATTCGGGGCCTAGTCCGGGCCTGTAGAACGCTACACTAATGGTGAGCGCACCAGTGTCGTGCGCTACCGCCAGTGATCATGCACGCGGTTAGCAATCGCTACAGGTAGGCTGACTGGTTTTCGATCATTAAAAACGAAACTAAATGTAAAGCGAAACTTTTACTTTCTTCTTTGTTTCTTCTTTGTTTCTTTGTACGTCTGATGATTATTACACAATAAAAACCAAAAGATATTACATGTATTTGGTATGACATATATGTTATGTTTCTGTGTTTTAGGAAAGTGACCTTCAGTTACCTCAGATATACGCCAAAGTGAAGCTAGAGACCGTGTATCTGTCCAAAAATTTCGAGCCCGGGGTTAGAGAACCGCTCCAGTAACTGGCTAACGTTCGTCAAACTGGGTTTGCATAGAGTTATCTCATGGGTTTCCGGTCTTCAATAGCCCAGTTGGAGCAGAACAGTAGGACGTTAAACCCTATTCATTTCATTTATCTCATGGGTTTGCGGTGGACACTGATACCCAGGATATTAACTGGAGAAATTATATTTGGTCAGAATGACTCCGAAAGTATTGTCAACCGCCAGCACCGAGTCGACATTAGTTTTACTGATCTACTATTCATTTTCACTGAAAAATTGTTGTGGTATTTTAGGTACCCCTATTGTTCTACCTACGGATTTTATAGTTGTACCACATGGAGAAACGGGTATAATATCAATCAACGTTTTAGCTTATCCACTTCCGGTATTCGTCTGGTATTATCACCAACAAGATGGCAGCCAACAGCCAGTTACCATGGTTACAGGTACAAGAAGTAAACAAACAGATGATGGTCTATCATCAAGATTAACTATACGCGATATTACATACGAAGACTGGGGCAATTATACAGTTAATATTATTAATAGTCTGGGTGTCACCTCCAAGACGTACACACTATCTGTGATCTCTAACGGAGACGCTGTAAAGGAAGCTGTCGATGACAAGCTAGGAGTTGGTATAGCTATAGGTCTTGGTATTGGTCTGGTTATTTCTGGTGTCTTATTTGTTATTATATGGTGTATCAAGAAGAGAAGAGATGCCATCATGTGTAAGTTTGCTATATCTTTCTTGGTTTCTAGACAAATAATCACCCCAGTTGTTGAGGTCAATATGAAATAAAACAAATGATGTTTAAGGTGGCAACATGCGACCAACAAGGTCAAATACAATTCGACAGTTTGCTAGAAAGAGAGACTTCTGTCGTGCACGATGTAGGGCAGGATTACTCTTTCTAGAACGCCGAATATCACTTCTCATTTGGGGTACAGAGGAATGAATGTACATTGACCTTGCGGCAAATTGGCGAAAACAAAATATATTTATTCGTTTCCATACGAATGTGTGAAATGCGAGGGGCGGGTGGGTATATTGACTATGAAATGGTTTTCGGGTTATTTAGTTCAATTTTGTTTTATTTTCAGCTAATGATAGAAATGGTGTTAATGACACAGTAGGCCCCCAGTCTAGAAATATTACCACCAGACATGGTAATAGTCCTGTAGACACTGGTGATTCTGTAAAACATGTAAACACTCTATATACCTCTACTTCCTCCGACTACGAGGGACTGGATGAACTTACTATGGACCACCGACCGAACATCTATCTACCACTCTCGAACAAGAGACAGGGTCATTGAGTCTTATCTCAATACACACAACCACATCGTCAAACTTACGAAATGACTGGATGAACAAACTATGGACAAACAACAAATCTTTCGGACCTTGTTCAACTAAAGAATGGAACAAATTGGATAGTTTGAGTTAATATATTAATACATTGACAATACAAACAATAATTTAACTGTTATATTTGTTAACTTATGTAATGTTATATCAACTGAATCTATTAATGTAATAAAAACAATAAAATTCTTTAAAAACATAATTCATTTTAAGACACCACATATTTAAATTATTGGTTGTTTATAATATAAAAATACATTAAATACTGTAAACGTTGTTTAAAGTTTTATTACCAAACTGATTATTATATGATTATGACTGTGGATTTATATAATTATAATAACTAAAAAACCTACTCCAAGTAGACTTATATTCTTAAAGATCATTTGTGACTTGGCTATACAGCTATACGATATATACCGTATAGCTGTATATCCAGAAATATTAGAACACCCGGAAAGCTGCACTACTCTTTGTTTCACGTTAAACGATGAAGAGATAAAAGATTTAGGTCCGTCTTGGGACTATTCATAAATAATGTCATTGTATAAAGATGGACAGTATATTTTAATATTTATACATATTTACATAGTAACACTGTGGTTTTAACTGGCTATAGTTACCATTGTCTATGGTTACATAGTATATCGTTAACTAATAGAAAACATGTACACACGTGTTAATCTGTAGTATATGGGTTTAATTTAGGAACAATGAGTGGAAAAAAATCATGGGATAGATTTAAGAAAATTAATGAAGTTAATGGCAATTTGTTACTTATTGACTATTTCCTTTTCGTGATGTCATCGGTTTTCATTTTATAAAAAGGGAAAATTTGGAATTTTACTTGTAGGTGTTGTGCACATCTAAAGATATGTCTATTTACAATTAAGGGTCCATTTTCAATATTACAATCCCTTCGATGGTTGCGTACTCTATCCCGTAGATGCGTGCCCGTCTCCCCTATCACGTCAAGACATATGTGAGATTTTTTTGTCACATTCATATTGTCGTTGACACTAAAAGTAAACTTATGAAAGTTATATTTGTTATTTGGCGTAATACGGTCGCAACATTTATATCGAAGATCCGGGCATTTAGATACTTAATGATGTGTTTCATTTATACATTAGATATTTGCTTGGAAACGACTTGTGAAATCTTGTTGAAACGTTGCAGTATAACAAACTAAGTGATTGTATCCATAAATTAATTGCTAGATGCCTCTCAAGTATTATACCATGAATATTATTCTATAACTACAGTGGTTTGTTATATCAGTAGAATATTATTCTATAACTACAGTGGTTTGTTATATCAGTAGAATATTATTCTATATCTACAGTGGTTTGTTATATCAGGAGAATATTATTCTATAACTACACTGGTTTGTTATATCAGGAGAATATTATTCTATAACTACAGTGGTTTGTTATATCAGTAGAATATTATTCTATAACTACAGTGGTTTATTAGATAAACTTGTGTTTTTATTGTTTATAAAATAAACTTGTAGTTTTATTGTCTATTACTGTGTATTATTAAAGTATTATTTGTAGAGTATTTTGTAAGTAAAACTAATACCCTGTGTTATTGTGTTTATAGTGTTAATGTCTTGTTATTTACCAGAAGTAAAATAACAGAAACATAATCATTCTTCCTGGGGGGGGGGGGGGTAGTTTTGAGACTAACATGTGGTTCTCTAATAGTAGGCTACATTCTTTGGACTCCAATTCCCCACCCTTACGACTATAGGTTTATCATTTTCCTCATGAAAATACCAATGGTGTAATTATCAGATAGTTAAACTGATATATTACTTGTTTGATTTTATAGCTCTACATATTGGAAGGGAATAATAAATATAATAAGCACCTCAGCTACATATTGAAGGGTGGGGGAATGCAATAGTTAGACCTAGGCTGTTCCACTTATGCGATCCCCTGCCAGTCCCGCACCCTATAATAATGTATTATGAATATAAACTGTTTCTAATCGGTTATGCTCAGCAAAATACGCGAAGAGCCCGAATTGAATGACAGCCTTTGGCATCTGGTTATTCCAGCCTGCACCGGCGGTATACTCCCAGGTGGCCCTCTTTAGCCTCTTTCATTGAGTCGCTTTATTACAAATTGCGCTCGAAAACATTCCTGCAACCGGTTCGTGTGCCAAGTATAAAATCTTCATTTTGTCTTAAATATTGGATATTAGAAACCCATCTTTTCACCGTAACATAACAACATCAATGTTGATTTAAACTGACCAATAAGTCGTGTTTACAATCCTTTAAACACAGCCGAGTGAAGTCATGAAAGAAAGGCTTATAGTGTTGAAAATGTACACACTGTAGATCTCGTGCACGAAGCAGTGTATACTAACTTTCTAAGAATTGGATACAGCTGATGTGTTTAGACATTTCATATGTGCTGTGTTATGTTCGATTGGATGGGACGACAAATCCAGACATACCAACTGGCGTAAAACTAAAAGAAAATCTGATCATTTGAAATGGAAGAGGGGTAGACGCAAATACGGCTGCCAGGGCAAAATTCTCCAGGTAACACAAAATAACATCATCCAATTTATATAGCTTAATAAATACTCGAATTGGGAGTTCCAAATGCGCTTGCAGAGCTCTACATTTTGGTTCCATTTCATCTATAGTGTTTTATGAATAGGTCTTGTTTTGAGAATACAGACGGACTTTGATCCTTTATTTTATCCACAACTATATCTATTCCCAAAAATTGCAAGAAGTTTTTAAATGATTCTGATAACCACAGGGGAATAGCACTGAGCAGCATTAGTAGTATAGAGGGTACTTTGAAGCAATTTTGGAATTCCAGACATTCCAAAGGTCTGACGTCACACATTCCTAAGGTTTGACGTCAGAGCATTCCACAGGTGTTCTATTTATAGTTTGAATATGGTTATTGTTGACTGAACAATGAGGTTATGAATAATAAAAAAGGTATGCAGGTGTTATATTCTTTGATCGTGTTTGACTTTTGTAACGAGGGTATGGGGTCCACGAATTGTTTATTGGAGGGTAGGGGGTGGGGGGAAGATATTTCGCTTTATAGGCAGGTGTGTAGAGGTTACATTGAGTTCACGCCAAGTGTAGCTATACCTGTATTAAGGGACAATGACCTCCGCCATTAAGCTTGACAGGTGATTTTGTCGATTTTGTTCTAAGCCAATAGTTTTAATCTACATATTTGTGACAGGGTGTAGTTAAATTTTGGTTTTAAGTTTCGAAAATCTAGGTATAAAAGGGGGTTGATTACACGTTCAAATGTAGAATTGTTTTATGAAGTTGAAAACAAGAGATTAACATCATGAGTATCGACCTGTATCGAAAGGATATTGGAAATGATTATTTGGTTGTAAAATGTATTTGGCAAGAAGATGTGTGTTATCACATCAGACTGTATGGTTACGGTTTTAAGAGTGATAGATATCCAACCCCCAATGGTATCATGTTTTTCGAGCGGCAATGGCAGACATTGATGAACACGTCCTCAGAGATAGATGAGTATTTACAAAAAAACATTGTAAAGAAATCAGTGCCTATTGGTAATGACGTGTACGTAACGATCGACAACAAATACCCTGGAGTCAACATTCGTAAATTTTGGTGGTGTGAAGAGGAACGAATGCCAAAACCTACCCGAAAGGGTGTTCATTTAAACGTGAAACAATGGGAGGCATTGAAAGTTAGCTTCAAAGAGTTGTGTGAAAATAATTTTACGGGTGAGGAACCACCCCTAGGTGTAGTAGGCTTAGCAAAGGCGGAGACTTGTGTATAATTTCTGTCCAACGTTTTTTTTATTGGGCGGTCTGTGCGAACCAATAATATAACGAGTTGTATATATATATATATAAATAGATGCCTAACTATTGAGTTATCATACGAAACAACATGGCTTCACCCAAGATATCAGATGTTTCAGTCGGTTTGACATTGAGTTTAGGGGACAATGATAATACAACCCCTGAAATATTACTGAAGGCTGGTTATTTAGGGTTGAAGCGTAAAATGGTTTTTAAGATGACATTAAAAGAATGGAGTCGGGTTGTTGATCGTTTCAAAAGATATTTATCCTGTACAAAACCTACCAAATTTGCCATCAACAGTGAGTTAAGCTGTGAACTGGGAACCGCCCGCCAAATGGTTCTGGAGAGAAAAAATGGTAGACAATTGGTGATACCCGAAAAAACCTTTTCCGACCTAACAGGCGTGTCTCGAGTTACAAGATCGTTCAAGCGCGGTCGTTATCATGTGTATGGTTGTTCGCCTGCCAAGTCGGGTCTCGGGGTAAAGGATTGGAGTTTGTTAAAATCTGGACAGACGTGGCACAATACTCCAGAGGATTGTGTTTCTGCAGCAAACAATGAAGGATGGGACCAGCCTGATTGCTACAGCACGGAAGTACGCGTAGAAGGGGTCTACGCCGAAAATCAACTCATTTTCCACGAGGATTTTGTAGATGCGGAGGAACACGTTACACACCTCGTACCGTGCACCATGTGCTCAAAACCTATGCATGTCAATGACGATCATTACTGTCCTGCCGAAAATATACGTACGTTAGTTGTGCAAATATTGGGAGACATGATCAACACGGAGATTTCAAAAAGTGTAACCGGTCGCTGTGAAGGCTGTCTCAATGGTCGTGGAGGGCAGCTTGAACATACATGCCTGGGGATCGACTATTGGTTCGATGAAATCAACTTTGTGGACTTGTACTTCGAATCCTGTTTTCTAGAGTTGAATAAAGATCGTTTTTTACAGATAGCACGATTCGTCCCAGAGATTCGCGATCAGAGCGAAGAGTTGTTTCTACACGCAACGTTGTATTGGAAACCTCAAATCCTAGAATGTGTTCACACGTTGACTAAATAACTTTTTTTTTTTTTTTTTTTATGATTATAATTTTCATTTTCTATATGTATTACATTTGTACTTTGATATAATAAAAGATTAAACATTTTTAAATGGAATTAGTTATTTTTACCCCGGCTAACGAAATGGATGTAAGGCTAAAGACCCCATTTACATGTATGATATCAGGGCCCACACAATCGGGTAAGAGTCAATTGGTCAGGCGCTTGATTCTAGAACTACCACAAGTTGTCGATCAACCCATAGATCGTATCGTGTGTTGTTACGGTGTTTGGCAACCTTTGTACGAAGAATTAGCGGGTATCGTAGAATTTGTCGAAGGGTTATCCGCTAGTCTAAACCCCAAGGAAAGAACACTATTGATCATTGATGATTTGATGGACGAGACAACGGACAAAGTATCAAAACTCTTTACCCGCGGAAGTCACCACGAAAATACTTCCGTCATTTATATTGTTCAAAATCTGTTTCATAAAGGTAAACATCACAGGACGATCAGTCTCAATGCCCATTACATGATTATATTTAAGAACCCTCGAGATGTCTGCAATAAAGCAATTAGCCAAGCAGATATACCCGGGGAAAATTAATTTTGTTCGTGAAAGTTACGAGGACGCTACAAGGAAACCCTATTCGTATTTATTTCTCGATTTGAAGAGTACAACCCCCGACCTTTTGAGACTTCGGAGTAGTATTTTCCCTAGGGATAACCCCACGGTGTACGTACCAAAGGTATAAAAGCAATTGATTTTCGACTGTACCTACACACAGTTGTCCGAAAATAGATAATGTATGGTCTAGATCGTCACGCCAAGCTATTACAAGCACTCAAGCGGGCCAAACCAAGACAGCGAATACATATTATTAAAAACGCAAGTAAACCAGTCATTGACGCATTGTGTGAGTGTTGTCTTAACATCTTGAAAGGGAGAGTTCGACTCTCGGCATACCACAAGAAACGATTGTCGAAACACAAACGTAGTCTAAGACATTTAGCGGACCGTAAAGTCGCCCTGAAACAGAAGAAATCCTGCAGAGGGGTGGATTTCTTGGTAGCTTGCTAGCACCTCTGGTAGGGATTCTAGGGAGTGTGGTACCTAAAATATTCGGGTTGTAATGGAATTTACTAAAAAGATGGCTCTAGTACCCGAGAGTTTGCTGGAAAATTTGCAAACACCTAAACCCCAGATATTACAGCCACCCTCTGTGAGAAAAGTTTCTGAATTAGACGTTGAAATACGCCGCATCCTCGAGGACCCCGAAATGGATGATTCGGAAAAGGTCGAAAAGTATGGACAACGGTTAAGGGAATTTATATTTCATAAAAATCGTGCCGTTGAACCACCTACTGTATATGTCAAACAACAACAAGGGTTAAGTACTGGTCTTACTACCAAACAACCGGTTATAAATAACAGAGATCCAATCAGTGAGGTACCGCAAGCGGAACCCTCAAGAGTTATTGAGGACCCTCCATTAAAATCGGACATCCTTGCTACAGTTCCGAAATCAATGAAAACTAAGGCAAATCTATTAATAGAAAAATTATATCAAGCCCCAAACGTCACATGGGACGGTAAAGGAATGGTCACAATAGAGGGTCAGTCTGTTCCCGGTTCA